TTTTTGATGGGAGCCCAGTCAACAATTGACCATTCTGGTAGCACCACTGTGGTCGAACGACTTGACCGGACTTGACACAGCCCTTGTCGCCAGATCCAAAAGTTCTAGCAGTCCTCAATTCTGGTAGTTCCGAGGATGAAATATGGTTGGAAAAAGTAGCTACCACTCGAAATTTCTTCAATTTCTGTTGATGTCAATAATGCAGCTATTCTTTTGTTTTCATATAGGCTGATTTCGATTGATTCATCCACATTTTTTCTTAGACAAATGGCAAACAGCTTTCGAATCCAATATTTAGTTTTTAGTTTTTCGAGATTATGCTGTCGCTGTCATTTCGAAAGCCACCAAAACCCGTCCACCATCTCTGTACATCGGTGGAATGGTTTGCAATTCTGGTTGACACAACAGTAATAAATGAACGCGTAGTCACGTCAAACTGGAACCCACCAAAGAATATATGAACGCAGTTGGTGGATTGATGGATCCACCGGTGAATAAAAGAACGTCCCTAAAGTTCGTTCCTGCGAATTTCCGAATCCTGTCTCGATAGCTTGTGTAAGATACTATAATTATGTCATGATGATGTTAATATTACCGTTTGACACGAGTTTGACATAATACAAAAAAACGAAGAAAACTCCTTTCAAGGGCTGTACCTATCAAATTACCCAATTCAATCAAAACGTAATAAGTCAGAATGAGAAAAATATTGATAATTGAATTCCCAAATTCATTTCACTTGATTTATTTTTAGAAAAGTCGATTGGGACACACCGTTTTCGAGGAAATACACTCAAAATCTAAACCCAAATTGAGATAAGCATGAGTTTCAAGCTTCGAAAGGCCCTGCTTTCAAGAATGCCACACCAAAAATTACCTAAAGGGATGTCCCTGTTATCGTGGCCTTTACTTATATCTGCCAATTCACTCAATGTCATTTATCTCAATGAAATCATTGAATAGGATTCAGAAACTTGCGAAATTTATTACCAATTGCCATTATGTTTTTATACCTGTATTAGAAAAATCCTCGGGGGAACCGAGATGATAATAATTGAGAAAATCATTGATCGAAATGATTTCAACATTCTTACTGAACCGAATTCAAAGTATACATATGGTAGGTACATTATTTATTCAAAGCATAATTTCATGTTCTTCATTTTTTGTAACGTTGGAATCTCCGCTGAGAAGCACTTGTCATATTATAAAACGGATAAAAAATTAAATGAAAGCATAAAATCGCATAAAATTTACAATTCTAAATTATTATTATTATTAAGTAACACCACGACCAAATATGCGTGTTTGTAAGTAATTTAAATAGGGCATTAAAAATGAATAAGGTCTCAAGGATGGAAAATTGACGAAATAGAAGTAAGTATTCTGAATATTTCCTCAATTTCGCCCCCAATTCTTGTACTTAATACCTAGTACCTTAGTACCTAATATCGAGTAATATTTATGAAACCTGTCTTCATATTATATCCATAACCATAATATGTATATTTTCATGTTTGCTGCAAGTGATGTCCTATGTATATATACCTAGTAGAAAATAGGATAAGTGACATTGCCCCCGAAACTGGTAGGCATGTATATTTAGGCGGCAACGGTGCAATCATTTTCATAATATTATGGCTGAAAAAATATTTGGATGAAATATGTACTTATTTATGCATATAATGTACGTACAGTGCATCCCATTTTGGTTGTGACTGCCAGGTTTCTCGGTTCTGCGGTATACCTGTGCTATTTTTTGGGTTTATAAGATACAGGTCGATTTTGGATATTTATCAAGATATTTATACTTTTTAGACCCCTTCTATATCTTGGAAGTACGTCTAACAGTAAATTCTGCGAAGATCCAGTGATGGCGAACTCAATTTTTTTCTGGGTATGGTTTTGGAGACACGACACAAACTTATATATTTTTTAGTAGAACACCCTGTATCTTTTTATTTCGTTGATTTCGTTATTTCTTCTTCAAAATGATGTATGCTACTACATACATACAGGATGTTTCTTAAGTACGTGTAAAAATTTCAGCAGCATGTTGCTGACGTCAGAATAAGCAGAAAAGTTCGTATAAACATATCTGCACAAGTTATTCATTTCTGAGATACAGAGTGTCAAAGTTTGATTCTTTTTCCTGTTTTTTGTGAATATATTCAAAAATAAACGTGAAATTCGAGTGAAATTTGGTATTATTTTGGAATTTATCCACAAAAAACCGAAATAACAATCAAAATTTGACACTCTGTATCTCAGAAACGAATAACATGCGGACATAATAATATGTTTATACGAGTGTTTACACGATCTTTTCTTCTTATTTTGACGTCAGCAACGTGCTCCTGAAATTTTTACACGTACTTAAGAAACACCCTTTGTACAAGGGTGTTCACAAATGATTGAAAATAAAGCAGTAAGTAAAAAATATATTATTGCATATGGATTTCCCATATAAAAGAAAAATCCTTCAAGTGAAACTAGAGAAATCATAATGTAATATTTTCTCAACATTTCTGATAATCCTATGTACTTATATACAGTATTTACCTTGGTATTTACATTATTTTGAGAGGAAAAAGTTTAAACGAAATGGCAAAATACAGGGTGTTCCATTAAAATATATAGGAGTTTGTGTCATTTCTGAATATTATATCGTTTAGAAATTATTACCAAATGGTTATGTTTCTCGAAAATTTCAAGAAGGAACTTGAATATTTCCTCGAATATTACAATACCCTGTATATGATATAGCTATCTTCGCGGTAGGAGGTTTATTATGAACAATTTAAATGAGTGTAGTGTTTATACTTGGGTAGGTGTTAGCAGGTAAGTACCTCAGTAAGTACTAATAATGTTTCAATGGGTATTTTTATTGTTTATTATTCATACAAGGTGTCCCAGTTCTGAAGCACTAAAATCCACAAGCGTATACTGAATAAGTTCATTTTTAGGCAAAATATTCATTTCTAAGAAAACATTAAATATAGTTACAGGGTGATTCACGTTTGAGTGATGACGTCCGCATCACCCTATATGTAATTTTTGGAATCTCCATGGAAATCTCTATTGAAAAATATATCACACATGAGGTTTGTATGTATACAAACCGAGATACAAACCGTCCGTTTGAGGAAAACCTCGAGGAAAATGGAGTTGCTTCAATTTCTTTCGAATTTATCCACAACTATACGAGAACACTGAAATTAACGGAATATATTTCCGCTCGTATTTTCGAGTATATTTTTGAATTCAGCTCTCCGAAAATTGAATAATATGTGAATATACAGTGTGACCCACTTCTGATGGAAACACCCCTCTATCTTACGTAATCGTTGGGTAAGTATCCTGAAATTTGCTAGATCGAGAGATATATCAAAAATGCACTCTATGACCAAGTCGGGTCATCTTCAGTGATATACACTGCTCGCCAACAGCCATGGAACCACCCCAATTTCCGGAAAATGATATTAGGAGTCAAAATAGGTTAAAAATCACTTCGAATTCAGGACGCCCTATTCACTATCTATTCATATAACAGTTCAGAAAAATTGAATGTTGTCTTACTTCTCATGGAAGCACCCCCGTATCTCACGTAATTATTGAGATAGGGTTCTGAAATTTGCAGGAGGAAGGAAAAGTCCAAAGATAAAGTTAATTACGTAAGATACAGGGGTGCTTCCGTAAAAAGTGCGACAAAATTTAATTTTTCAGAACTGAAAATTTCCTAGGAATCTGAAGTGATTTTCGACCTATTTTGACTCCTAATATCATTTTCCGGAAATTGGGGTGGTTCCATGGCTGTTGGCGAGCAGTGTATATCACTGAAGGTGACCTCACTTGGTCATAGAGTGCATTTTTGGCATATCTCTCGCTCTAGCAAATTTCAGGATCCTTACCCAACGATTGCGTAAGATACAGGGGTGTTTCCATTAGAAGTGGGTCACACTGTATATGTTTGAATAAATTGTCGCGTACTCCATAACTCAAACGTGGATCACCCTGTATATTTAATTGTCGCTTGTAAATGTGGCAAATTCAGATTGAAAATTCGTGTTAGAAGCAGTCGTCCATAATAACTCAAAGTGGAATGGTTAGTTCACGAAGAGGGAAACACAAAGTAATCTCCACAATTTTAATAATAATCAAAATAACTCAATTAACTTCGTACTGTTTCGAGCCTTTCGGGCCTAAATAGGCTCACCTTCAGCGAGAAAGAGGAAATTATGGACGGGAAGAAAGAAAATTATACTCAAGTATCACTATCAGTAAGTTGCATTGTACTAAGTATTTTTAATTCTTCTCCACCCCCCCCCCCTTTATTTCTCCAAGTTTGAGAATAAAACTGAAAACTAAATATTCCCTCAAAAAGCTTTCTATATGAGTGGTACAATGTAACTTGTGATACTACTTGTGATACGCCTATTTGAAACATGTACGAATAAGTAATTTTGATAGTTATTATAATTGTGAAATGAACAATGAACATAATATTGTAGCCTTCATCTCGCTTTTCACAGGGCGATTACGTTTTCAACTTTTTCTTCTGATATCGTCCTACCTACGACAACATATTTTTATACACATCACGCGAGAGCAGAATCTTAGACATATAGAGGTTTCCCGATAAAAAACATTTGGAAAAATCCTCGGAAAAATCGAACTTCGAAGGCCCTGTATTTTCCCAAGGATTCGAGGTGGAGGTTATGTTTGTTACAAGAAATTCAACTCATAATCAACTTTGGATGAGAACAGCCGATGTGAATATACATTGCTGCGTTGCGCCCTCGATTGCGCCTTATATGAATATTATTCCTCGGAGTAGGTAGGTATTCACTTACTAAGTTACTACTTACCTACCGCCAGGTAATGAACCCACCAAATATATAGGTACATGCATACCTACCTATGATAACCTTGTACCTTCTAAGTACTCTTCTATACTAACTTATTCCTAAATAAAAATAAGGACTGTTTTTTTTTCTTACCTATTACCCCTACGACACAAAACACTATGGCACAACAAGCTGCAAAAATTGTAGCCTCCCTTGGATATCTGATGACACTTGTAGTGTAATTCATCATGATGGCTTATTCATTTATTTACTTCAAAAGAAAATTCGAGTTCAAGTAATATGCGGCGAAGCCATAGAGCCACAGTAACACAACACACACCGATGTAAACATCACCTCACTTGATTCCGATACCCACTGCGATGCCGATGATTGCAATTCCTTCTCCGGATCTCTGTGGCAAGACCATGTGCTTCGGGATCATTCAGGGGAGTGGGAGAACGATATTTGATTTTTCACTAATCTCGAATGTTTCAGAAAACCTCAAATACATTCATTCATTTATACATTCATTGATACTTTCATTCATTCATACATTTATTTATTCATTCATAACAAGGGCGGATCCAGAGGGGGGAGCATGGGGTGAACCGGTGATTTTTCTGTGAAAAATTCCAGCAGATATATCCTATACTACATAATATATGAGGTTCCAGAAATGAGTTTCCGAATTATCAATAAGTGAATCTAAAATATTAAAATTATAAAGGCTTATTTTTGTTTGATTGATGAGTCAAAATTTCAAATAGGCTTTTTTTCGAAAAAGTGGATAGCCTTTTCGATTCAGGCATAACTAAAATGCCTCATACGAAATTTCAACGTATTACCTCATATAGGGTGGTTGTTATTCAATGGTAAATTCTAATATTCTTATTTTTTCAATTTACTCTATATGAAAATCAAAGAAGTTGATATAACCGATGAAGTATAGTAACAGTTGAAGAGTTTTTTATTATGATCCATATATTTTTTTCTGAAAATAGGATAGGTAAGATTGGGGGCTGTGCTCAATAAAGATTTTTCGTAACGGCACCTTAAGAAGATACAAGGTGTCGGAAACATAATTTTCAAACACATTTTCCACGATTATGTCGAAATTACTAGCAATATTGTATTGAGATTTTGCAATATGTTTTGACAGATGACACATCTCATGAATTTGTTTATATATCTGACTCTCATAGAGTGCACTATAGTTGAACGGTTTGTTCGGAGTAACTTTTTGAAGGTTACATTTTCGATTCCAAATTTTATGTGAACTTCCATCTATTTTTTTCTGAAAATAGGATAGGTAAGATTGGGTGCTATGCTCAATAAAAATTTTTTCGTCAAGGCACCTCAAGATACAAGGTGTCGGAAACACAATTTTCAAACACATTTTTCACGATTATGTCGAAACTACTACCAATATTGTAATGAAATTTTGCAATATGTTTTGACAGATGACACATGAATTTGTTTTTATATCTGACTCACATAAAGTGCACTATAGTTGAACGGTTTGTTCGGAGTAACTTTTTCAAGGTTACATTTTCGATTCCAAATTTTCTGTGAACTTGAACATCATTCAATTTTACCACAAAAATGTGCTCCTATAGTGAAATTTGATATTTTGTACCGTTTTCGGAATATTTTGTATTGAAAATGATGAAGTAATAACTACTCTTGTTGGTATAAAGTTATGTATAAAGTAAGTATTCTAAAAAATACGAAAGCGCTGAACGGACATGATACTTTTTTTTTATAATTGCCAGTTTAAACTGGCAATTAGCTATAATTGCCAGTTTGAACTGGAATTTAGCTATAATTGCCAGTTTGAACTGGCAATTAGCCATAATTGCCAGTTTGATCTGGCAATTAGCCATAATTGCCAGTTTGATCAGGCAATTAGCCATTATTGCCAGTTTGAACTGGCATTTAGCTATAATTGCCAGTTTGAACTGGCATTTAGCTATAATTGCCAGTTTGAACTGGCAATTAGCCATAATTGCCAGTTTGATCTGGCAATTAGCCATAATCCCAGCCAGCACAAAGAGGTCCTAAAGATATCTTGAAGAAATCCTTTTAGGAAATTGTGATGCCTTTTATAACTTCTTTGTGAGGTCGCCGAGAGTGCTATATCTAGGCCAAATGTCCGCCACCTAGGCTGAGCTCAGCGAGGTCTTGAAGATATCGCACGCAGAAATTCTCATATAATGCCCTCAGGCGCGCACTTTGAGATATACGCTTCCATCGCCACTGGCGATAACTGAAAGTGCTCGCAATCATGAGCTGTTTGAGAAATTCTTATACATTGCTTTGTGACGAGGACATTGGGAGATTCGCATCAATTGCTTCTGGCGAGGTCTTTGAGTGCTCGCGATTACGAGCTGTTTGAGATTTTCGCACGCATCGCCTTGTGAAGAGAACTTTGGGAAATTCGCATCAATTAATAATAGCGAACTCTTCAAGTGCTCGCAACTATGAATTGTTCAAGAATCCGTGCACATCACCTTATAACGAGGCCTTTAAGAGCGATATTTGCATCAAACGCCACATGATCGCCACTAATATGGTGTTCAATTTTTGAGAAGTCATTGGTTATCAGCAGTCTCCTGTCGGCGAAGTCTAACTAGCGCCGGCTATATTGTTTGGGGTGGAGTTGAATTTACTGGATATTTGTTTCAGCGAAAAAGATTGAGCTACCAAACTTAGAGTTAGATCAACGTGATGAGCTTTAATCATATATTATTTTATAGCAAGACATTGATCAAGTAAACTTTATTACTTGAAAAAATCTCCGAGGAGTTGGCCGGGTATCCTTTAAAAAAAAGAGGTCGTCCGATATCTACCCACGAATTTGAGGTAGATATTTGATTCTCGATCCCACCTGAATTAGAACATTTTTGTCTTTTTCGTCAGAGCAGATAATTAATTATCATTAATTCACTGCAAAATTTTAAATAATCTTCCATAATGGCGGAGATATGATAATATGACCTGTTGAACACATTCTCTGAGACAGTAAGAAAAGCTAGTATCTAGTATACAATTATTATTATCATAGATTAATGACTCCCATTTCATGTTAATACTGGGTGTCCCAAGTTATCGTAAAGGTACCGGCAAAAACTTGCTTACTCGACAAGATGAACAAAAAATAGTAAAAATGCTTCAAATGACATCAGAGAACTTTCTTTATGACTCAAAAAAAAGTGTATTAGATTGGACAGTCACCTTGTAGCAACTCCCCAATTCTCATTTAATGGACTCCCTGTATATTGTCATTGAAAATTGCCAATCATCCTATTTCGGGAATGAACGATAGCAATACTTTGTATTTTGTTCATTAATAACAACATTAACAATAAAAATTTTTTTGACCTCATTTACGTTACATCGATTGAAAATTGCCTCCTCCCCTGTTCGTAAAAATGTCCCACAATGAAATTAGATTGATTATTACACTAGGTAGGTACCGTCTGCGATGATTGATGTTCTGCAGTTCACAATGGAATATCTGTCATTAATATTTTGAAACAAAAATGCAATCCATACTTCTTATTTGTGAACTTCTTGAACACATGTGTGAAAGCAATTTGTCATTTGAGTAACGTTAAAAAGTCACAAAATGTTCATGTTTTTGTTGTTATCAAGAACAAAACACCAAGTATGTGCTATATCGTTGTATTCCAAATAAATTGACACGCAATTTTCAGAGACAATATGCTACTAGAAAATAAAAACTGATCAGTATCTACCATCCGGGGGCTGCCAAATATATCACATTCTTCATAAGCCATTAGGAAGGTTATTTAATGCCATTTAATGCAGTTTTTTAATGCTTTTGATATCTTGACAAATAGGCGAGATATTGCCTGTAAACGATAACTTGGGACACCCAGTAATTGAATTATAAAGGCTATTGAAAAAAACAACTCAATATTTTTGTAGGAATATTCATTAATTATTCAGGTTATGTTTGTGATTACTTTAGGAGCTCGCAATGGGAAATTCTCGATCTTGTTACGTCCAGGATATCCTTGGGTGCTCGCAGAAAGAAATGCCTATTCATTTCCTGTTATAGATAACCTCAAGGATTCGCAATAATGAGGAATATATCAAATCTGAGGCGAGATCTCCGCAATTTCTTTCGGACGAATACAGAGAGTATTTCCCATGGTGAGAGCCTATAGTGATCTTTGACACCTCGCAGGAGGATTTCGCATTTTGATCCTGAAGATAACTACTTAGAGATATTGCGGAGAGTTCCGTGTTACCTGGGATTGCCAGTTTGATCTGGCAATTAGCCATAATTGCCAGTTTGATCTGGCAATTAGCCATAATTGCCAGTTTGATCTGGCAATTAGCCATATATAATTGCCAGTTTGAACTGGCATTTAGCTATAATTGCCAGTTTGAACTGGCATTTATCGCTTCCCTACGAAAGGATCTAGTCATGTTATCGCCATCTAGTGACGCCAAGAAACGCGAACGATTATTTCGACCAACGCAAAGGGCGAGTGGACTGATAATGACTTATTGCCATTCAATTACTCCACTGTGTCGTTAGAGACCTATATTGTTCAACAAGGACGGAATGATAGTGATTTTCCTCTACATTGAAATTTGCAGCCTGAGCCGTAGGCGAATGATGCTGCAATCATTCGAGTGGGAAATTAGCATTCCCTGCGAGTTATACACCATAATTTTTTTACGGCTGTGACAGATAACAGCGACACTTTTGATTTCTTCGTCTTGTAGCCATCTGATTTCCTCTTGAGTAATGCGCATCTATTAAACAGAGCTCACATTGCTTGAACTGTGACATTACATTTGCGGGGTACTTTCGTACGAAAGCACTAAATGCCAGTTCAAACTGGCAATTATGGCTAAATGCCAGTTCAAACTGGCAATTATGGCTAAATGCCAGTTCAAACTGGCAATTATGGCTAATACCAATAAATGAATGTCAGTAAATATGAATATTATTTATTAAATATTGATACATATAAGAAATATAACATGGCGCAGTCTAATGGGAATTGATGAACCAAAAAAGTATCCAAGGATGGCAGAGAAGTATAGAGATTGATATTAGAAAAACCAAGTCACATCCGCCACGTTAAGATGGAGTTCAGAGTGCCAGCAGCCTTAACGTTTGACGGGAACCTAGCAGAGAACTTCAAAAAGTTCAAACAAAATTTCGAAATTTACATGATAGCCTCTGGAAAAAGTGCAAAACCTGATGA